ATTCTTCCACCAAACAATGTAGTTCCTCAGAATCAGTTGTGGTTCCAAACAAGGTGGTTGCCGAGCAACACACAGAAGTAAACAAAGGTGTATGTTTGTAGTGTTGTACAGCAGCTTCGAACGCGGCTCAACCAATCAGAATCAAGGTCCGGAACTATCCGTAGTATTTTTTGTTGTTGTTATAACCTAATAACAATGTTGTCTTAGCGTTTTATTTTTTGTAACTATAAATTAGCTAACGTTTCCAGAACACAAACAGAGACTATTTTGATAGACAACATTGTATAAAATGTTATCATTACTTTTTTCTTCTTCTTTCATTTCTAATGTCCTCTGACATTATTTTCATGGTTTCATGGTTCATAAATATAAGAAGTCAGGGTTATGTCAAAGATCATTTATAGCACTTGAAAGGCAAGTACTGTATCATAATAATAATGAATTAAGGTATAATCGGTTTTCTAACCACTTAAATGATTTGTACCTTTAAACAACAGTGCACCATAAAACTAATGGCAAGATTTTGCAGCAGTGTTGCCGGTCTTATGCATTTTAATATTAATAGCATAAGCACACATATAATGTCATTAAACAAACTAGGTAGACTGTATACTTGGCTAAACTGAGTCGCTAGAGCGCTTACTACAGTGTGATGTGTAAAACTTTATTGAACATTAATGCAGTGAATACACAGACAACTAAAACCACTCGCAACTTCCACTCACTCTAATAAATGAACTATGAGGAAAACGTAAATCACAGTCTGTAATGAAGTCCAAAAAAAACCTGTTAAACCAGAGACCGCAGTCGCATTTTAAATGACTTATAAACCTCTGAATTTTTTAAACCAAGGATGAAGCAAATACAGTAATTGATAAACCCTTATCTTTTTTATATTACGTAAATAATGTAATTTTCTTGCTTACAATCGTTATTGAAAAAAACTAAAATAAAAATTCTGGCAATGGCTTTAACATGCAAGCTTTGTTCATCACCAGAGTCGTCTCAGCATGTGAGAACTAAAACCCATTTATAAATGTAAATTAAATTACTAATTATATAAATATTTCATGGTATACATACCACAGTATTTTGTAAGTAAATAAACTTGAGGTAAAATGAAACAAAGGGACAAAATAAATTTGCGTATATGTTTCATTGTAGCATGCACAATTCAAGGTTTCAAGGAAAAGAGTAAAAAACATCTTTGCAATCTTCAACTCAAATCTTCTTGATTTTCTCCCCAACGACAAGCGGGTTTTCTTTCCTTATTTTCTCAGCTGCATCAGCCTTGTAATCGAAGCTACAGTTGTGAACATCTGAGTATCGGTGGATGCTGCAAAACAAGTGTCCGCACCGGCAGTCGAAGCCTGCCATATAGAAACAAAAGATAAATTAGCTCAATATGCTCAAGATTTCTAAAATAAATACACAAATATTTTATTTGCAGCGACTGCTCACAATATATCAGATTCTTTCAAATGTATTAACATCACATACTTCCCCAAAGACAAACTGTAGTTTTAACAGCTGGCATAATGTTTTTCTATCAACACGTTGAAGTGCCATTTGAAATTGTCTTCGAAATTAGCATTTTTATTAGACTCTAGGGTTGTAATGATTCACTCGTTTTCTCACTGCATCGATTACAAACCCTGACGATGCAATGCATCGATCTTGAAACATGGATTTTTGAATCGTGAATCGCCGATTTCGGACCGTAATCAATTTAAAACGCTAAGAATCGAATGAATTGCGATTTTATAGTAATGCTAAAGTGAAGTAGTTTTGCTTTTCTGTAGTTTTTCAATGGCTCTCGGTCATACCAACTTCATTACCTAAGCAGTCGAGGGCTGCGCATTTATTGCACGGACGGAGCAAAAATGTAAGTGCCTAAAGCATACGCACAGTTCCACTGAATGATAAATGTGCCTTAATAATGTTATTAAAACGAATGTACGAAGGAAACCGTTAAAATAACCACAGCTTTAACAACAACCTTGAAATAAGAGCTCAAGGTTTATCTGATAATCAGATGCATGAAAGTAGCGTTCGTTGCTATAGCAAACAGACATAGGGAGCGGTTTCTTTCAGAATCGTCATTCGCCGATGGAGAGGAAAAGTTAAATACTATAGCATTTTATTTTATGAAAATGAGATGAAGTTTTCGCACTGAAAGAGAAGTGATCTCGCGCTTATAGAACTTAAGGCGTGCCAGGCTATCTCTGCAGCTAAGCTGAATAAAAAGCAGAATGAACTGGTGAAACGTTAAGACAATAAACACAATAAATAAATAAATACAATTTATGAATCATGCAGTGCTAATTGACATATTTATTACAGTACAGAAACTATAAAGTATATTTTCTACCTTATTCTGTGCAGAAAATCGAAATAATTGTTTGTAGTATATAAAACAATCATAAAATTGCCATTAGGAAAAAATAATAGATTACAAATGATTGATTATTGTCCAGAAATGTATTTGATTTCTTATAGCAAATTCAAAGTAAGAGATAAGAAAATAATAATGCATACATACATAAAATTATTGTATTTGACATTTCTGTCACTTCTGAAATGATGGCTACGCCCCTGGTGTGACAAAATGTTAGCCTGTACATAATACTTTTAAAGCTCTTTTTTTTTTATCTTGGCTTACATAAATTTCTACATATGCCATGTCATGCCATAGCATCATTAAACTAGCATCTAACAATCGACAAAAGTGTTTTTTTCTCTAACCTATGGTTCTGTAACCATAAAGGCTGCTGTGTAATTTGGCCCCTGACTAAGCATTTAAAGAATTTAGGGGAAGCATTTAAATAATCCTGTGAATGCGCTTAAAGAATGCAGAATCGTTAATCGAATTTAATCGAATTTAATTGTAAATCAAATCGAATCGTTCTGAATTTGCAAAAATCGCTCTTGAATCGAATCGAAAACCTATGAATCGTGAATCGAATCGATTCGCTGTCTACCGAAAGATTCACAGCCCTATTAGATTCTTTAATGGCTTTAATGGCAATGAATAGTTTCTTTTCACTGCCATTAAAATGAAATAACTGAACATAAACATACTGTAGGAGCCTGAGAAAAAAATGCTCATTTTAGAGGACAATTTCAAATGGCACTTAGAGGCTCTTCGTGTGTGTGTATGTGTATATATATATATATATATATATATATATATAGAGCATGGTTTTGCATACCAGTGAGCCCAACTTTCTTGCGGCAAGTGAAGCAGCGGTTCTTCTTGGGTCTGGATTGCTCTGGTTCATCTGAGGTTTGCTCTGAGACATCTGAGGCTAAGAGTTTAATACAGGTGTCAAAGATTTAGAAATGCTGCTATCATGAACATTTCAAATGGGATTCTGTATATCAAAAGTTCTTGGTTGGCATCCGGTTCCAGCCTAAAACTTTTCCTCAGATATTATTGATCAAAACATTCTGAATAAAATGTGGCAAGCATGACAATGATGAACTTTCTGATCCTGATACTCACCAGACACTCTTTCTATGGGTTGACAAGTTTCATCAAGCTTCCTCTTTCCTCTCGATATGCAATCCTCCGCTGATGAGCTACCTGCCTTGGACTCCTGGATGTTTCTCGCCAATTTACTGCACGACAATTCTTCTATACAAGCAAACAGAGTAAATTTTATAATTATTTTAAACCAGGAATTGTGCATTATTCATTAGCTAGGCTTTTGCACTTTGGAGAGTTAACACTTTTGTTAATCAACCAAGTAGAAAAAATAGACATGGTTATTGAAAGATATATGACCGTTCAAAAATTTGGGATCAGTAAGATTAACTTTTTTGTTTAAAGATGTCGCTTATGCTCACCAAGCCTGCATTAATTTAATCAAATATACACTAAAGTCAGTAATATCATGAAATATTATTACAATTTAAAATAACGGTTTTCTAACCATGGTTTTAATATCCACCTTGTTTTTCAACGTGGAATAAGCCCTTTTCTGTGAATGTGCGAGACTTCCGGTTGATTAGCCGCTATAGGGAAATAACGAGAAGAATAACAACATGCAGGAAACGGTAAAAATGTTTGCACTACAAACCAGTGTGTTCATAATTAAGATAATACATTAAAATAATATGGTAAGACACACTAATCTGCAATATCAAGCAGCAAAATGAGCTGTTTTGTACAGCTGAAAACAGCTGGAAGCAGATGACACCGGAAGCCAGACACATTAAATTCACAAATGGCCGCACCTACTCTTACAGGAAAATAAGGTGGATAGATACTTGGAAATATAATTTATTCCGGTGAGTCAAAGCTGAATTTTCAGCATCATTACTGCAGTCTTCAGAGTCACACGATTCTTCAGAAATCATTCTAATATGCTGATTTATTATCAGTGCTGGAAACAGTTGTGCTGCTTAATATTTTTTTGGATCTGTGATACTTTTTTCAGGATTCGTTGATGAATAAAAAGTTAAAAAGAACAGAATTTACTCAAAACAAATTTTTTGTAACAATTTAATTCTTTACAATCACTTTTTTTTTGTTTTCAATTTAACAAAACCTTGCTGAATAAAAGCATTAATAATAATAAAAAAAAACTACTGACCCCAAACTTCTGGTAGTATATATTATATACAATATGTAATGCAGTATACATGCAAAATATTTCTATAAATTAATACTAATACTGCTAGTTGATTAAAGCTCATTATTGAGAGAAAAAAGCAATATGACTAAATCTGTACTTGGTTTTCAATCAACATTTGTTATTTAATAACCTTTATCATTAATCTCCATCTTATAAACAATTCTACCTAATTAACAAACAAGAGCCTTATGATCAGTAAAATCAGTAGACATACTAATGTAAGCCTGTTGAGCCCTGGAAAAATAAGAAAACAGTGCTTCAATCAAACGCAACAAGTGAACTTTGAGCACTTATTGGCCAGCTCTCAAAGCAAAAAATCAGACGCATTTGGAAGATGATGTCTGGCTGTTTCTATGGAGTTTGATGGAGCGTTTTCTCTTTTTGTGTCATGGTAACCTGCTCAGTGTCTGGTTTTGGAGCAGGGGATGACATAATAAACGGGTCAAAGTGAAAAAGGGATCGTACCTGGTGTTTTCAGGCCTGATTGTGCTGCTGCTGAAGCACCTTCTTTATGTGTAACTGCTGCTGGTGGTGTTGGCGTTGAAAAATACTGACTGGAGAGGATGACGAGAAAAGATTGTGAAAATACATACCAGTTGTGTGAAACTTAGAAGTGGGTGTTATAAACCTTATATCACAGTACGAGTAATTTTATATCACAGCTGGAAAGTAAATTGTTCATATAATAACCATGCTGTAATGCCTATTTGCGGATAAACCAATAGATTAAATACACTACAAAATAATAGTGAATTAACCATTAAAAAAAAAAAAAAAAAATTACTGAAATAAATAAATTAAATAAATAAATTAAATAAATTTTATTTCAGCTAGCTGCCAAGGCAACATTTCTCATTATTATTTGGTTTAACAAAGTACTAAAATAACTAAAACTTAAATTAAATAAATAAAAACCATTTAAAAATAAGATGGACAAAAAAATAAAAAATACTAAAACTATCTACACAAAACTATATTACAAAACTACACACACACACGTATTGGTGGAACTTGGATGAAAAAAAAAAACTATTCATAAATTATTAAGTCTGCCAAAACAGCTTGACATTATACAGGTGCATCTCAATAAATTAGAATGTCGTGGAAAAGTTCATTTCAGTAATTCAACTCAAATTGTGAAACTCGTGTATTTTAATACCCGAGTTTAACACAAAAAAGAATAACAGTAGAACTGCCCACTGATAGTCATACAAATATATCTATTGTTATATAAATGGCAGTGCAAAACCTGCTGACACACTTCTACAGTATGTACAGTCATACCACTCAAAAGTTACCACACACAAGTTTACTCTTCAATAAGAAAGGGGCCTTTTCTTGCCCTTTTGAAATAAGAGTTGCACAAACAAACTACATCCTTTGCAATTGAAATGACTTAAGCAACTGTTATGAGAAATGATGAAAGGGTGGTAAAGAGGAAGATGTTGTACCTGTTTTGTTCATGCTGTGACGTCGATTGTACAGTCATAGATTCTCCTTTACTGCTAAGGCTGGAAGACACTGCAGGCAATGAAAGAGCAGGAAACCCAAAATGTCAACACTTCCATTTTAAGTTCTCCTTATTCTTCAGAAGCTGATGAAAGTAACAGAACAAGTGAGGGTTTGCTTTTTGAGACATTTCAGTAAAACACTACTGTGTCCAAACCAGGCATGATGGAACAACCAGACAAGTTTCCAGTGACAGGAACTTTTTGCATCCCCGAATAAAGGTCAAATGCTGTTGAGAATAATGAAATTAGAGCTTATTTAAAAAAAAAATAAAAAATAGGTGTGGACCAATGCAGTGTTAATTTTGACAGCAAATTTTGATTTAGTTTTAGTCATAGTCTTTTGACTAAAATGCCATTTAGTTTTAGTCATATTTTAGTCATCTGACATTCTTTCAAGCAGACATATTTATTTCTATAAATACATTTTGATTAATCTTTAGGGCTACTAAGGTTTTTCAGTCAAGAGCAGTGCAGTAAATTTTTTTAAAGGGGTCATATGATGCTTTTTTAAAGATCATAATTTTGTGTATTTGGTGAAACAGAATATGTTGACATGCTTTAATGTCGCCTTCTTTCTTTGCGTGCACATTTGAGCGCATTATGCAAATATTTCCACATAGTGAGGTAGATAATGTGGGGGCGTGTTAGAACGAGCCATTTTAGGGGGGCGTGGCAGTCTTAACTTTGATAAAGTATATCTCTTTGGTTTTGAGACTTTAGTCTTTGCAACTTCAGGGATCTTATCTATGCACAATCAGCTTGTAACACTCCAAAGAGAAAGGAAAACTTGAAATCGCATCATATGACCCCTTTAATGTTTTATGAGACGTGCAGCAAGTGTATTTTAGCTTATGTCCCGCCGGTTCATATGTACTATGCAGCAGATTCGTTCTGAATAAATCCCTTCCCAAATCGTCCCTTCCTAACATTTTCGTCTCGTTTTTATTCGTTGACGAAAAGGTCAATAAATTTTCGTCATAGTTTTTATCATTCAAAAAGAGTTTTAGTTTGTTATCGTCTCGTTGTCGTCGGTGAAAAAAATGTCATTGACGAAAATGATTTGTCAACGAAATTAACACTGGACCAATGAGATGTCACTTAAAAAAAAAATGTTCCAGGGTTTCCACAAAAATATAAAGCATCACAACTGTTTTCAACATTAATAATAATAAATGTTTCTTGAGCTTCAAATCAGCATATTAGAATGGAGTAATGATGCTGAAAATTCAGCTTTGATCACAGAAATAAATTACATTTGAAATATATATTAAAATAAAAACAGTTATCTTAAACTGTAATAATAATAATAATAATTCACACAATTACAAATTTTACTGTATTTTTGATCAAATAAATGCAGCCTTGATGAGCACAAGAGACTTCTTTCAAAAACATTACATGTACTGAATATTATACAGTGGGGCAAAAAAGTATTTAGTCAGCCACCAATTGTGCAAGTTCTCCCACTTAAAAAGATGAGAGAGGCCTGTAATTTTCATCATCTGAACTCAAACTTTTGAAAGGTAGCATTAAATCGAGCAGCAATTAATCCACCAACATCTTGCCATTATCATCCCTTTTTACTTTCTTAGTATTAGTAGTGTATTTTTATTTAATGCCATGTCAGCATCTTAGGCTATTTTCATGGCAAAAACTAGGGGTGCTCCGATCAGGATTTTTGAGGCCGATCACAGAAAGCAGTATCTGCCGATACCGATCACCAACACCCATCTTTTTAAAGCCTTCTTTTTATCATTTATAGTGATACTCCAATCAGGATTTTTAGACATTTATTCAGGGCATATATTTTTGAAAATGGGGGGGGGAATTCCTCTCTTAGGTGACTCTTGTGAGAGGGGAAGCAGCTTTCACACAGGAGTCTGCTACTGATCCGCGGCTGTTTACCACAAACACAACGTTGATCCATTATTTTGATTTCAAATCCAAACACGGTCACTGAAAATGCTTTTTCAGCATTGCAATTCTTTTTTTACACAGTACAGTAATACAATCTTTCACAGACATTTTCTTACGTTCTCACAAACTTACCATTGACAGAAACAGTCAGCTCTACTGCCTTTTCTTTTGCATTTAATGCAAAATGCATTCTTTATTACAAGTAATCCTGCGGTTAATAAAGAACTTTGTTATCCTACCTCCGCGAGTGCCATCTATTATTGTCTTTTTTTATCTAAAAGTTTTCTTTATCTTTATCTTCTTTCCCTTTAAACCTAGCCAAAAAGCCAAGAAACACAGTAATTAATTATTTATTTATTATGCATTATTATGCTATATGCATTTATGGTGTAATTACTACATTTTGTGTCAATCAATCCATGTTCATATTTACTGCAAAAAATGCGCTGTTACTTTAATTCAGCGCTTGCAGCGCAGCAAAAATAGACTCGGTGCGGAAACAATCTCTGCACTGCTGCAGACACACCGCTACTGGAACGCACTGCCGGACATCAACCGTGTGCAGTGTGCACACTTTATTCATCTGTTAACATGAGCGTGGAAAAATTACGCACCACATACGAACTGCAAACGGAGTAATGCCAGGTTCACATTATGTGTGTGCGCTGCGAGTGTGCATGAGCGCACTGTCTTCAGGAGAGCGCGCGAGCGCTGAATGGTTAAACACTGGCAAGAATTAAAAAGAAATGCAATTTATAAACTTTAGTGATGATGTGACACTGCCTCGACTGTGCAAGTGACAAT